TGAGTACTGGACTGGTGTGGCTCTCCTGAAGTACTGTATCTAGTTTTGGACCCCACACTTCAAGAAGCTTGTGCACAAGATTCCAGCAGAGAACAACAAAAATGGTTAGGGGCCTGAGAAGCAACATTTATGAAGAAAAACTAAAAGAACTAGGATTATTTAGCCTGGAGCAGAGAAGACTGAGTGGGGATTTGTTAACAGTCTTCAAATACCTGAAGGGCAATTACAGAAGAGGATGGAGATGGGCTTTTCTCTGTGGCCATAGAGGACAAGACTAAAAGCAATGGCCTCAAAATTCAGCATGGGAAATTTAGATTGGAGATGAGAAGGAACTTTCTGACTATGAGGGTGGTCAAGCAATGGAAAAGGCTACCTAGAGAAATTGTGGAAATCGCCATCCGTGGAAATTTTCAAGAGCAGGTTGGATGGGATGGTTTAACCAGGTTGACTAGGGGGTTACACTAGTTGACCAGCCCTACTTTTCTATGATCTTTAGTAGAAAATCCCCACTTGCCACCCACCTATGACTGTGTTAACCATGGATTGAATAGAATCAGTCTGGGACCTATTTCTAAAAAGGAACTCAGATATTTGACTTATACAAAGCTCACCATCCACAAAACCAGGAGTGGTTTTGGTCAGCCAAGTCCCCTGTAAGACCTACTGCCTGATTTGCAGAAGTGCTCAATACCTACAATTCCCACAGACTTCTACAGGAGACACTGGGTCCTGAATATCTATGCCAAACATACTATTAATCCTCTTTAATCATGTTTACAATATGAAACATTTAAAAGCCATCACCGGGACTGCCTTCTTTTTACAGAACTCAAAAGTTAGTGTAGTACCAACACTTCATATTGTAAATTTAAAGTACTGTTACCTTGCACACAGTGACAAATTGCTGATCATTCCCTGCTCCCACCACAAGGTAGCCATCCATAGTCTTGAAAGCCTAGAAAAATAGATATGAATATTAAATATCATTACAACTAAAATATATAATACAAGTCTATCTTAAAGTTATGACCCTGTAACAAATTATCAAATGTCTTCTTTAAGGGGACTTTTATATTTAGATTCAATTTATAGTTATACAAATAGCAGTTCAAAGTGGCACAGTGATTTTCATAAGTTTCTTCTGATTTTCCTAGGGCAGGAAATTTTCTTTTTTCCTACACAGTTTATTTGCTGAAAAATGTAGTTCTGACCATCCAGATACTATTTGTAAATTTGACCTACATTGCCAAAAGAGAGATTGAGAGATGCCCACTTCAGAATACTTTAGCCCTCTAATTAGGACCCTTATCTAAGACATTGGAGACCTTGGTCTGAGTCCACAGACTACTTCATTTTGAGCAGGGATTTGAACCAAAATTTCCCACCTTCTAGGCATGCGTCCCAAATAAGTACACTGTAGTGGGTCTCCCCCAGTCCCCTCTGTCAGGGCTGTTCCACTTTTTATAAAATTCTATATATTTAAAGGGCTTAGTCAGTCTGTATGTCTGTCTGTCCATAACACTATTGGCCAACTGCATGCGCTGCCGAGAGGGTGGACAGCAATTGGCTGCATAGCCCAGGCTGCACAGGCTCAAGTTTGAGCCACTACTGGGGAAGTTTGTGGCAGCGGCAAACATGCCCCGGATGCCTAAGCAGCGGGGCTTCCCCACGCCTCCCTGCCTGATGAAGTGGCGGGTCATGGTAGTGGCGCACCCCTGCCAACCTTCTGCAATGCCCCCCAGAACGGCCAGCAGAGAGGGGGAGGTAGCAGACAGGGAGACGGAGGGAATGGGGTGGGGGAAGCAAAGGAGGGGCTCATGGTGGTGGGTGCTGTCAGAGCTGGGAGGGAGGAAGGAAGGAAGGGGAGCGGGAAGTGAGCCCCAACAACAGCCAGCAGGGAGGGGGAGGTGGCAGGGAGGGACAGAGGCTGCACAGACCTGGGTGGGTGCGGGACGGGGGGAGTCATGGTGGTGGCTGTTGTCAGGGCCAAGTGGCAGGGAATGAATGAAGTGAGGGGAGAGAAGGGGGATCATGGTAGCAGTGCCCCCCTGCCACCCGGCCCCAACAACAGCCAGTGGGGAGGTGGAGGCATCGG